ATATATATATTAATAATACATCTAATATAATTATAATCTGATGAAACTAACACATATAGATATAATTGTTTGTTATAATCAATGGAATTGCAAAAGATATAGCGTATAATTAAAAGAAAAATCTGTGCTTTGCAAACACAAATATTGTTCTCGAAAAATATCCAATGTATTCTTTCATTATTTTTCCAATTGCTATTGTGCGTTTATACACAAAATATTCGGAAAGAGCTCGTTGTTTATATTCGGCATAATATTTTTAGAATCTCCGAGAAAAGCGTTTATAATATATTAAGTTAATATTCTTTTCGTAAAATCTTCATAAAATCTCCATCTCTTCATAAAATCTCTATCTCTCATATATAGTTTTAACGAGAAGCATATAATTTACAGATATACATGTACATTTTGTTACAATTCGTTAGTATTGAGGTGGGTATGGATAAGGTCCTGACTGTTGATAAGATCCAGGTTGTGCATTCCATAACCGCCATAATAAGGCGGTTGTCCATAACCGCCGGGATACGCACCTGCTTGAGACATCGGCTGGCCGTTGTAATTCGGATTAGCCCATCCTCCTGGCTGTCCCGTACCTGTACCTCCTTGATGCGGCGGTCCGCTCGCATATCCATATCCCGGCTGTATACCGGGATACGGTGGCGGACTATCCGTCATAAAGACCGTATTTCCTAGAAAAGAAAAGGAGTAGTTTAACAAGTATTACATGTATGGTGAGCCAATTAATACAAATGCCATTCTGAAACAATAACCGAAATATAATTTCATTAATAATGCAAATTTGTAAGATTTTTTTCAACATTATAATATAAGATAAACCGTATTTTTAAATAATATTGTATCTAAGAAAAAATGGTTATTTCCACTGAGAGCAAGTATTTTGTTTTTATGCACTGTGTGTGTTATATATAAATGTGAATATTTGAAAACATCTTGTATGCTTGCAAAATAAATGTAAAAAAATTTGTCAGGAGAAAGTTTAAATATTTAATAAAATAAGGCTTGTTTATCTATTTGTTTATATTAGTTGTGGAATTGAAAGGACTATTTTTTTCTCTCTCTCTCTCTTTCTCAAGCCTTGTTATATATTATAAAAATCTATTACTATCCTTTATAATATGAATGGCTTAAAAATCAGATTATTAAAGAAAAATTACTCTAGATTACTATTTTAAAATATCAAGCAAAGAGAAAGAATTTAGCCATTTAAAATAATGATAGTATAGTTAGTAAGAAGGCACATTTAAGATCGTATAGAATATTTCTTTTATAAAAGTAAATAAATATTGGAAAGTGAAGTGTCGATATTAAACCTGGTGGAACATCGGGAAATACGTTGGTCGGAGGTATCCATCCATAATATCCAGTCGGTGGGGGTTGATAAGCTGAAGGTTGTGCTGGGTACCAATCGGATAATGGGGGCGTATATGGTGGTGGCGCGTCATTGGAAGGGCCATTGCGTTGAGCTAAAAGTCACAAGATATAATTAATACATTTAATATTTTGATAAATTCTTCTTATCAGTACACCTGATAATACTATTGATCCTATTGTTATCTGATATGTGAAGAATACATATTTATTTATAACTTACCCATTGACGCAACTCTCAGCAAAGCTTGTGCAAATTCCACTGCTCCTCCACTCTTAAATCGTAACTTAAATTTGCATTCTCCAATCCAGTTACCATTCGGTTGGGCACGGCACTTGCCCCCTATATAATTGGCTCCAAAGACTGGTTGCTCCAGTCCAACCTCGCTCAATGTTACAAATGGGAAGCTGAACGACTGCATTTTCTCCTTTTGATCTTTAGAGTTGAAAATCATTCTATGTGTCGTCAAGTACAATCTGCCTTGCTTCTTCCCAATGAATTCCGCCTGCTCCTGTCCATGAAATTCCATACTAACATTGTCAGAGAAGAGTATAATGCTGAAAACAATTATATTACATATAAATTAAAAATCAGCAATATAAAAACTTATGTACAGTTTTATTTTACTGATCCGATTAGCGTAAGAACGATTCGTTAAGTATGAAATATATATATGTGTCGCTTAAACGATCTGAATTATATGATCGTGTAATTGTAAGGCTGATTCAACAAGGTCGTTGGCAATAAACTAATCACCGCTAAAGACTATGGCGGTATTGCGTATTGTAATACGTCATGTCAAGAATATTCGAGACGAAATATATGTAACTTCACATTTAAAATAAATTCTATATAATTTATAAAATGCGACTTACCATTCGCCAGCGTGGAGAAGAACTCCGCCGTTAGTATGTGCCGTGTTCAATGACATGTCTTTTTACGTCAAATGTACGAAGGATAATAAACTCTTCGATAAATGTCGTCAGACGTCAGACCGTCAGACCTTTTCTTAGGAACTGTTAGGAACTGTCAAAGAGGGAGAGAAAGAGAGAGAGAGAGAAATAGAGAGAGAAAAAGAAAAGAATATTCAAATTGACTCAGACTGACGTAACTTAAGTTGATATTACATTTATGCAACAAAATATTTGTTGGACGTATCGATTGGCTATTAAATAGGGAATTCTTAGAATCCTGATTAAAACTCTAGAAATTCTCTATTTAATAGCCAATCGCTATGTCCGACAAAAGCAAATTAATCAATCACAGTCAAGGATTCTAAAGCCCGTATCAGACTACGCATTGAAGATTGAGATTGAGGATTGAAGATTGAAATTTGACCAATCAGGACAAAGAAATTTTAGTCCCTTTTGTCCTGATTAGTCAAATTTCAATCTTTAATCTTCAATCTTCAATTTTCAATGCGTAGTCTGATACGGGCATAACAACGATATAAGAATGCTTGACTGTGATTGGTCGCTTTTTCATATGTAATGATCTTTATACAGAATTCACACTGCAATGTATGTACTATGACTATGCCCGATATCCAATAGAAGAGCTTGTTTTATAGTGATTCTAACTAGCAATATTTTACAATCTAGAAATGAGAATTTTCTCGCTTTTGTGCTGTTTCCCGATCCCCCATCCGAGGGCACCCGATATTATATTATACGTGACATATACTATAATATCGGGTGCACTCGGATGGGGAATCGGAACACAGCCTTGGATATATCGGATATTGCGGTGTGGTATTCAATTGGATACTTATTGGCCATTTGAACGTAGAATTTTCTGATTGATCTGTGCTGGTTATCTTAAATAACTGTCGATATATTTAATTTTTTCTTGCTTCATCTCTCAAATTTTACTTTTTCTAAAAAAACAAAGATTTTTCTAATTATTTTTTCAATTATTCTGCTTATTATTTTTCCTACACATACGGACGAAGAGAAAAAATATATATATGAATATATTTTATATACAATATAAATTACATTGTGCGCTAGGCACGCGGCGAAAAGAAACAGCCCATTGTTACGCGATTATTAGGCATGCGACGAAATATTTGGAAGAGCGCTCTACAAATAGCAATGGCAATCGCGTAACAATAGGCTGTCTCTTATTCTCGCCGCGTGCTATATAATAACGCGAATTGGTCAATCTTTTTTAATTAATTTCCCATTTAATTATTGCGAAAATCGTAAAGAGCTTTACAAATTTGTGTTTTCGCGCGCCATATTATTTCTCCTCGCTGATAAGAAATAAATACCCGGGCATCGGCCAGCGTGAAAATTCGGCGCGCGCAGAAATCAATGCCGTAATTGTCAAAGCATGCGCTCAAAGATAGAATGGGAGAACCCGGCATACGCAGTACGAGAGAATAAATAACATAGTGACCAGGTGCGCGATTAAACGATCCCGGCACACAGGAAGCGAGCATTCGCCGCAAGCGAGAAAGCTGTCAAGCGCGAACGCGCGAATTCGCGTTCGCGTACCATGGACTCGTAAGAAGACTATTGAGTTCGAACCGCCAGATCTCTTTGAATTCTCGTCCTGCTGATTTTTCTTCCCCTTCCGGCAATATGGACGAGAACTTGAGCCGGGGATATGTTCAACTGGGCAAGGCCAGGGGCATGAACGAGTTTAAATTTTCGAATGGATTCACGCATCTCTCGCCGCCTGTTGATAAATGCAACTTCATTTACATGGCTCTGATTCTTGGTGGCATAGGATTTCTTCTCCCTTATAACAGGTCCTTTGCGCAAACATGTATTTTATTACATCTTATATACATGTATATCCTTCATCGTGTGTATTGACTATCGAAAATCTTTGCATTACTATAGTCTTTTTGCTTTTTAATAGCTATCTGGATTGCTTGAAGAGAATGACTGATGATAATTTAATTAATCATATATTGTACCGTCGTATGTGTTAAGTGAAGTTCAAGATTGGTTCATAAAAATTATGATTTCTCAAAATTATTGGATATTCTCTCTATTACAGATTCTTTTTTGCCGATTTAAAATGGATTTTTTCTCGGTAAAAATGTCGGAGCACTCATAGTTTTTAAAAGTTGGAAATAAAGAACTTCCGATCAAATAAATTTTAATGAATAAAATTTTATTTAAAGAATTGAATTATAAAAATATACAAAGTTAAAGTTTGCATAACCGTAATATATTATAAATTTCTTTTGTTTTAGAGAAATTATTTCTAAATTGGTTGTAGAAGATGCGCTTAAAAAAATATATATATTTGATAATCCCAAGACGCATGCGTACTATATATAAATTTTAATCGTGTGAAGGAGTAAATAGGGATAACAGAGTTATATAAATTGGTAATCGGTTAAGTTGAATTATTAATAAGGTTGATTGTTTACAATATGTTTTAGATATATCAAATTTTAAAACATTAAATTTTTATTATAAAATTGTTGCAATTTTTACACTGACAATTGTGTGTCATTGTTCTTTACAGTTTCATTATAGCGGTAGATTACTTTCAAGCGAGATATCCAGGAACTACCGTGATATTCGACATGTCTGTCGTTTACATTATTATGGCTTTCTTCGCAGTTTTCGCAAACAATATACTGGTCGAAACCTTATCGCTGAATACACGAATTACGTTTGGTAAGATGCGCTAAAAATGTATAAAGTTAATCGAACGATACTAAGATGAACATTATGACATTGCAATATTTTTAATAATATAATTAATAATTGTTATAGTTTTAAATAAGTTTTAGATTTTTTAATAATATTTTACAAATATTTTATATATAATTTTTTAGTAATTAGGTTTTCGTATAATTTTATTATTTTATTATTTTCGAAATGGTTTGATAATAGCGGTTATTCTAATCTCTCAGTGAGTTAGTATTGTAACTTCGTTGTTTAATAAAAACGGATTGTATTGAACTACAATCATCGTCGTTTCAATTTATTTACTTATAGTAAGAAAATGAAATATACATAATCTAATTTTTATTTTGTAGGGTATCTGGTATCCTTTGTTACTTTGAACTTTGTGGTGATCTGCGAGATTTGGTGGGAACTTTTCGGTGTTGCGACTTCCTATACTATTAATTTAGTTGCCGTTGCGATAGTATCGCTTGGTTGTACAGGTACCGAATTAAAGAAATCATTGATAATTTATCGATTGACTTCAGACAATTGAAGGAATATCCGGAAAATTTGCCATTTTCCGATTAATTAATAAGTATTATAATTTGTTTGATAAATATAATTTAACAAATATTTAATTTTAAAATATAATAATGTTAAAATATGGCAAATGTGGGGACTATATATACATATATATATATTTGTAATTACGCATTATTGATAATTTTTCAAGCTCTTTGCCTTAATCTTCCAGTTACATTATGCATTAGATCTAATAAATTTAGAACTCGCAATATTTTTCTGAACAAATTCCTTTAATTGTTAACATATTGCAAAAATTTGATCTTATTACTTCCTACTATTTTGATATTATAGTTCAGCAATCGAGTTTTTATGGATACACATCAATGCTTCCCAGTCGATATACGCAAGCTGTGATGACGGGAGAAAGTGAGTATTAGAGAACATTCTATGAATAATTAAAACTTATTCATATTTAGATTTGGTCGCTAAAATGTATTAAATGTCGAAATTTCAGAAGTCAAAAATAAGATTTCTCTCGATAATTTTATTAAGAAGAAATTCAATAATACACTGTATCTTTTTTCGGTAACTCTGGGGTACATCATAATATATAAAAAAATATTTTGTTGCATTTTTTAAGGTGTTGCTGGCTTTTGGGTATCAATTAATCGAATAATAACAAAGTCGCTACTCAATGATGAGCGTGGCAATACATCCATGTTCTTCGTTCTGTCGAATATGACGATCCTGTTGTGTTTCGTTTTACATCAAATAGTACGGAAGACCGATTTTGTACAATTTTACATAACATTATGCCAGGAGAGAAATCGAATCACTTTAGAACCAACGGAAGATGTTGGTCTGGTATGTAATTACACACTCGTTCATTTATACTATCGTTCATTTATACTAAGGTAGATGAAAAATATAAGGTTTCCTGTTTTATTATGATTTTTATTTACCGCTTATGCACAAATTGTGTGGACTTATTGTATTAAAATATAAGTTAATGATTGCTTTTCAATATAATCTTTCCGAAAAAATTGATGCACCTTGGCACAAGTTTGAAAATTTCCCTTTAGTGAAAATTCGGCTCTTGATATTTAAATCATTCTTGAACAGCATTATATATCACTGCCGAAATTATCTAAAACGTTTTGCTTGCCACAAGCTAATGATATATATGTGTGTGATTAATGTATACTATATTGTTTTCAGATGGATCCATTAGATCAAGTCGGCGATCCCTCGAAAGGCCAATACGGAGTGTTGAAGATTCAAACGAGTCCATTGGGGACAGAATCCACGAGTGGAACCGATTTGAATAGTAAGCAAGACATTAATTTTACATCATTTAAGTACAGAATGATACTTGATTTGTTTATAGAGGAATATTTCTTCGAATTGCACTCAAGAAAGATGTGTCATTGTATCGAGATTACGACAATAATATGACTGTATTATTTCAGCGTCTCGACAATATTCTGCATTCTCGTTCAGCAATCCAGTTTACGAGCCTAGCGCACCTTCGGGTAATCCACCTGGTAGTGCTGGACCGACTTATAAGGTCGAAGACGTCGTAGTTATGAGAGGCGCTTACGGAACACAAAGCACAAGTACACCATGGTCTGGCATAAAAAGTAAGAAAATACAATTTTTCTATTTTATTAAAAAATGAATAACCGATTCATTTTTTACATACACGAGCTTGTAATATTTAGCATTATCTTTTATATGATTGCGTGAAAATAGCATAAAGATCGTTATTGCGGAGACAAGATTGACAAGATCAATTAATTAATCATATAATCCGGAATGTGAAACATCTTAGTTTTATGATTTATAGCAAAAATTCAAAATAATTTTTTTAGGAGGTCTACTCGCAAGACTCGAAGTTGCCAAATTGATCTTCCCATACATGGCCAGCATTGGAGTCGCTTATTTCGTAACGCTTTGCTTGTATCCAGGAATCGTATCGGAAATAATATCCTGCAAGTTCGAATCGTGGATGCCGGTTATTTTGATGACCGCATTCAACGCCTCTGATTTATTGGGCAAGGTTAATATATTGCCGATTATATAAATTGTTTATAATATTAATCCTACTCTTTTCTCTGCTCTATTTTATATTTAGTTTTAATCTGTTAATTAATATTGCAATTATATTGTTATTTAGATATCTTATTATTTCTCGTTATTTTAATATCTTTAGAGAATTTAATAGAGAGATAATAAAATGTTTCTTAAAAGTAAAGACGAACGTCCACAAATGTGTGGAACGACAAGATTAAAAAATGTTTTATCTACAGGATCATAATATAGATTATCCGGTTTCTTTTATAGGTATTTGCTTTAATACCTTACGAATGGAAACGTACTCAACTACTGTATTTCTCTAGTGCGCGGGTAATACTTATTCCCCTATTTCTGCTTTGCGCAATTCCACGTGGTGCTCCTATTCTTTCCGGCGAGGGATACCCGCTCTTGTTCTCTTGGTTGCTTGGTCTTACGAATGGTATAGTCGGTTCGATACCTATGATCCAAGCACCGAGCAAAGTACCAGAGGAACATCGAGAACTCGCAGGTACTTATTATAAATCCAAATTTTCGTTAAAATATACTAGAGTCGATAAAAAAGTAAGGTTCCTTGTTTTATTACGAATGCTAATTTTATTCAAATTTTATTCAAATATTCAAAATTAATCTGTCATAGGTCATACAGCAAATTTAAAAATTAATACGACATATAATTTTGCTAGGTAACATTATGACGTTATCGTATATCACCGGATTAACTATCGGTTCTCTATTGGCATATATGATGGATGCCTGTCTCGGGCCACCTGTGCAAGTCAAGGACGTGTGTTCCAAGTTGGTGAAGACTCAAACTTCGTCGACCATGTTTAGTAACGTGACGGCGAGCATCTTGACGACCGCGATATCCTCCACCTTGCCCGTCGAGAAAACGACGATAATACCGAAGCCAAAGACCACCGTCAATGTGCTAACTACAATTCTGATGTCCACGTTATTGCCGAATAGCACCGTAAGCTTATTAAACGATGAAGGCTCGCTGAATGCATCGACAACAGTCTTACCGAAAATCTTAGCTAATGTTACCACTTCGGCAAGTAACGCAATTCTGCAACATTAGGACATACATGTTTGTGTGTTGTGTTAAATCTGGTGTTTACATATAAATATATGAGAAATGGATAGAGAGAGAGAGAGAGAGAGAGAGAGAGAGAGAGAGAGAGAGGAAGGAAAAAGAGAGAAAAATAAAAAAAGTATGTGTACGTGTATGCGTGTGCGCGCACGCGGAAAAAGTGATATATGCGAGTTAAGAAGCGAGTTGCTACAAGATTGGTTAAACTTTTAGATTGGCTAAACTTTTGAATTAATGTAATAATAATTGTTGAAAAATATGTTTTCTTTTTGTATTGCCAACTCTCTATAAGACGCAATATTTATTGTTCATATTATGTATTATCGCGGAATTTATTTTTTGCTTAATTAATTTATGTATATAAAAAAAACATCGTTTTTAAAGAGATTAGAAAAATAAAAAGAAATAGAATACGTAATTCTATTACAAATGGCTATAATAATACTGTTCAAACAATATGTAACGTTATTAAAACACGAGATGTTCAATAACTATTTATAAATGTTCTGGTCATTTAAAAAAATGTATAGATGAAATAGAATCTCTCTCTTGGAAATAAAGGCCAGAGAGAAAATAGTGCAAAAAAATTAAATCTTTTAAAGGATTCTTTATATATTATATATATATGGTAATCCGAGACTGATTTTTTTAAAAATCATATAAAATAGAAACAAGCATATTTCGAATTGTAAACCGTTTCAATATCTATTTGAAACATCATCAGCATTAATATATTTTTTATTCACTAATAAGTTTTTTTTTATCAATATGGAAAGAAGGAAGAGAGGGTAAAATCTATTTCTTCCTTATTATGCAATTGATTGTATGCACTGTATCATATGAGATAAATATGGAACAATAAAGAGAGAGAGAGAGAGAGAAAGAGAGAGAAAGAGAGAGAGAGAGAGAAAACTATTTTGAGAATTGAGTTTGAAACGACTGCTGTGAGAAAGGAAAAAAACTAAAATTTAAAAAAGCTATAAATAATTATTTTTAGATTATATATCAATAATAAGTTTATATTAAAAAACAAATTATTATTTATTATTAAATTAAGTAATAATATACTTTTGGAATTTACAAACATTTTCAAAACATATACAATTCTTATTTATCTTATTGTTTTTAATAACTATGATGTTTGATTGTTTTAAATAACATAAATAACGCTCCTTGACTTTTGCTCTATCTAAAGAAAGAGCTTCATGTTAAATATTCTTCCGTTGATATTTTGTTAATAATACTTTTATTTTTGCACGTATAAAAAAAAGTTGTAATTTGTTCTATAATCTATTTACTTAAAAACAAATAAATAAACAAATTTTCGAAAAGAAATTTATCTGTTTTAAAAATGGATCACATCTATATTTGCATAGAAATTGGTTAAATTCTCCTTTTTTTAAGAGAAACAGTAGATTACTTCAAAATTCTCTCTTTCTCTTTATATTACATAGTTGATCGGATTATTTGAGGTGAGAAGAGTGTTTAATATATCTTAGTAATATTACATAATAATAAAAAAAATATATATACATTGTACATAAATTTGGTATTATTGTGAGAAAAGCTATTATTTAAACAAATTAAACATAATTGAAATATCAAATGTTAATGAACAATATGCTACTTATTATTTTATATTTTAAAAATTCAGGCAATGTAGCTTATCTTAACCATCATTTTATCTAACATCGAATTATTATATAATACGGATAAAAAAGTATAAGTATTTTAATTTATATTTAGCAAGAAATAAGAATAACATAAAATTGTTTATTATATATATATATTTGTGTTTCAAGTTGATAATAAAAGCCATTACATCTTGTTAGATATGTTAGATATTCAGTGTATAAATTTCTGCTATTTTTGTAAATTGCATGATATATACTATAGTAAACGCTAGTTCAAATAAAAAATGAATTTTTATTTTATTTTATGGAAAATTATATTGTATTTGTTGATATGAATACTGTGTTCATTAATATTTATTTATGCGCAAGCTATATTGATGCACTTGGTTTTGTATGTACTGTGATAAAGTTGTCTTTCGAAATATCACCAGATTAAACACACGCACAAAGGAATCGCGACAATTGTGTATAACATTGCGCTTACCGGTATCAAGCTGAAGAAAATGGTTTGCAAGACATACGTGAGGCTCCACAAATGTTCCTTTTCTGTTAAGGATATCGCGTGCCTTTTATTTCGTATCAGCAAATTGCTGTTTCGAATAATGTTTTCAAGAGCGATAATGGAGCAGAATTGTTGATTTTTGTTTGTAGAAAATGATATGTTATACATATATACTTATCTTGTACGTTAATTTACGTCTTTGTTATTGCTTTAATGCGTAATAGACTGTTAAACTATATTTAATGGTTGATAATCAAGAAGTTTTTGCCAATAAGGTTACTGCATGAGTATATTCTGTCAAGTTGTTATACGCATCTATATGTGTATATATAGTTGATTGAGACTTAAATGTAAAATATGTGTAATTTATGTGGCATATTAGGCGTCTCCATAATTACTTTACAATTCACTAGATCTACCACTTTTTAGATGCACTTTTGAAAGGAATACATTATAAATAAAACACATTATGCCACATTATATATTATGATTCGTAGTAAAAAAAAAGAGACAACAATAAACGATAATTGACATAACTACTATTTGATATACATATGTATTACATCTCAAGCATAAAAAGACAAAAGTATAATCCATTATAAAGATCCTAATCATAATACAAAGAATTATAGTTGAAGCACAATTGTTTTCATGTCTACCGATTTTAATTTAATTGTTGTAAACAATACATGATCATTTTTTTATTTATGCAAAAAAACAAATATTTTTGAAAATTTTATCAAATATTGCAAAATTTATATAAAGAAAAATATATTATTAAAATTACTTTGTTTATATAATTTAATTATTGTTCTAAAGAGATAGGACAATGGTTGTCAAATTTTATCTATAAAAAATAAGAATGAAAAAATAACGTTTATTAATATCAAACTTTTCTACGATAATACAAGTCCGAAAAAATTCAAGTACTCTTTTATTTTTATAAAATATAATATGCGTCAAAGATATTGGCTGTTAGTTACGAATCATTGTTAGTTGTTTTTCTTGCTACGATCACTCATGACATATCTAGACATGAATACGTTGACACTTCATCTAGTAAATATGAATTAAAATGTTTATGATGTTTAGTACGATATACTTCCTAAAAAAGAAAGATCGATCTTCTTACATTCCTGCCCCCTCCAGCTTCGTTAATTGCATTATCTGGTCAAGACATATCCGATGTTACGTAGAAGATTGTAATCAAAGTTTGTGAAATTAAGACATAGTTAATAGCTCTATGTATTATAAAGAAATATGTAATACATTCGATCACACAATGCGACTAATTGAATATCTTTCTCTGTTTCTTTTTTTTAAATATATAACATATGCCCAGTGGCGGATTTTCCATTAGGCACAGTTTAGATGCACATTTTGAGGTTTTAATATTGCAGAGAGCTTCCTTCAAATCAAGTTGTATCCTGACACTTTGGTATTGCAAGAGACATCATATCAAGCTACGCTTGAGGGTTTTAAAGTGCCAAAATCCGCCACTGGATATACTCAAAAAATCACTCATCAAAAAAGAAATAAATTCAAAAAAATCTCCTCTAAAACTAATTAATTATTTTAATTGCTATATCAAACTGTAGCACATTATTCGTAGTCAACATATCGTCTACTTCTGAAAATTTACGTATATATAGAATGTATTCGAAATAACCACACGCTTGATGTATCCATCTCCTTCCTGTTTATACAACTTCAAAGAAAAACGCTCCATAATCTATGATATTTTAAAAATAATGTGTATAAATATTTTATTCTTATGGCGTATAAAGTAAAAGAAACTTTTAGTAAAGCATCTTCTTTTTTTATATATTAAACCTTTCTCTATATGGATTTTGAACAAAAAAAATGTAAATATTTCAGATGGATATTGTTACTGTAGTAGAAATTTTCCCCTTTTTTAAAGTTTCTTATTATTTAAAACAAAAATTTTTTTGCCTTGTAATAACGTTTCGTGTTTTATTGTTTTACTTAAATATTGTGAAATTAATATAT